CACATGTGCATTTGACGAGGTAAACTCTGTAGTCACAAGGATCTACTGTTCAGTCATGGAAACCGACAGTCAAAAGAAACCTATCAAGGCTCCACTGAATTAGGCGTGGTACTGAATGAAAGCACTGACAGCAAATAAATTGATTTGAACCGATTATCCTTCAGACTTCACCTTCACGCACAATCCTCAGTGCATCCGGTCCGGAGTTCAAATCCCGGACGGGGCGGCAGATATGCACTACTGATGAGCTCTAATAAGAGTGAAACTCGAGTGTGTGGTTGACTGGATGAAGTGAAGATTGCGCGTAAAGGTGAAGTTCAAAGATGTCAGTTCAAGTCAATATAAAATATCCCACACCATTACTCGCAATTAACTGTGAGTTGAATGAGAAATAGTGAAGAAGTGCCTTTTCGGTCAACAACTAACAAACCTCGAATCAAACGTGACACATTGCATTATACCACAAAATAATCAATTTTCCATAATTTTTTTGTAACTGATAAAAACAACTTCTCATATAACTTTTTTAATTGCTGTGATTAGGGAAGTCTATATTAGTCCAGAGGTGGTGCTGCATATCACCTGGCGTTTCCCCAGATCGCGGATAGCGTAACGGTCATCCGTTCAGTGACTAGCAGTAAATAAGGTACGCTCGGGCTCGCCAAATAAGCGGTAGTACTCGGGGACCTGGAGCAGGCTTTCGCGTGACAATCGTTCTCCTTAGATTAAGTCACAAGAGTCCAAAGACGGCACTGTGACGTGGCGGTTTTGTTTCACCGCTCAGTAGTCACTGTCCCTTGTCTCCCTGAGTTATTGTATTCCAGCTGAGGAGTATGGACTGAAATTCTCAGTCACCGGTTGGGACAATAAACAATTCCGGGCTTCAGTAACAGTGAATAGAGAAGCACGCAGTGCTCTGATCCCTTGGGAACCAATTTTACAGGAGATTGCTATGGTCCTTTTCAAGACATTCCATTTAATGTGAGCATACTTGCAGTCTACACCCCAGTCCTAGATGATGATCGAAAAATCAAAGACGACTTCTACAACACGCTCCAGAGTTCGGTTAATCGAATCACCAAGCGGGCTGGAACGCCCGCACAGGCCTCGAGGATAAGCATGTGTGACACATATTGGGGATATTTAGTTCCGGCGAAAGATGTGATAACGTTAAATGTTGTGTCTCACCAAGAAATTCACTGAACCTGGTTCCATGATGTGTATTCCAGCGATCCCAGTTAGAAGACAGTTACAAACAGGGCAAGTGTTTATTGGTAATACCAGCTAAACGGAGATTGAAAAAGGGAGAAACGAGCGCTAAATATGAGGTTGACCACAGTCTGGTCATTTGTCCGGAACCAGGTTTACGAGGGTGTCGATAGAGAGATTGCGCAAACCAGGTTGTCGTTTTCTGTGCGTTACGCTGACGACTACGTATCCAGAACCCTCGAGAAAACACCGACAGGTTCTCATGGTGACGGCTGATCCCGATCCACTTCAAACGCAAACTGTGATAATTCTCAGGGGAAGGTTAGGTTTCCCCGGACAGCAACCATCTGGTTACGTTTGCAGACTCCAATCGGTACACTGTCACAAATACTCGCTTCCAACACCAAAAAAATACTTACAAACTTGTTATTTTAATGACAGCATGACAGAAAATCAAATTGGTTATATGATGATTTGCTCTCCCTGGGATTCATCGGTCGAACATATCAGGACGCTGTACCAGGAAACCCCAACGGGGCTGACTACACTTTGGTACGAATTGTCTCAAGATTAGTCTCTCAACACCACATGAATTTCGCCCCCAAGTTTTATCAAACGCTGTAGCCTCGCAATCTCTGTGCAGACGCCATATGGATAGTGATACAATCATCTATTGAAGGAGCCACCCTTGAAGAACTGAGCAAAAGATTCCAGCACAACAAGCTGTAGATCTCCAGGATATGGACAAAAATGTCCGCCGATGGGTATAACACTTCAATCACCTGGCCAATCGCTCTTCCATCTACCCCCACCATATAGCGTCACCATCCCAATACCGACCAATATGAAATCGATCTGAACCCACTTAAACAGATCGAGAATTTCTATCAGTGTTATGACGATGAAAAACAGAAAGTTACTGGGAGAAGATGGTATCACAACTGAAATCTATCCAGTTTGTTTGTCAAATTTACGAGACCCACTAAGCACACTATTGTGTCTCATCTGCTATACATAATTTTTCCAAAATAATGGACAACATCAAACCTACTCCATATTCCGAAAGGGCAACAAAACCATCTGCACAACACTGCAGCGGTATCAACCTCATTGAAATTGCGACCAAGGTTTTCATAACCATCCTTCTCATCCACATTGTTAAAAGAAATGGGACTAAAACACGTCCAAACCAGTTTAGTCTGATTCGAGAGAAGGATTGTATCGACCAGATCTTCACACTATGTCGAATACTAGAGCATTATCATAGATTCCAACAGCCAACTTCGGTTTGCCTCATTGATTTTCAAACTGTGTTTGACTCCATAGATAGACTGACATTTTGGAGCATATCAAGTGCAGACAGGATACCCGGAATTACAAAAGGCTGATAAGCTCACATTATTGTGTAAGGAGAGAGTGCCTCCATACTCACGGGGAAAAGTTAACGGAATTTCCGCTTATTTTGGGCTACCACCAGAGGTTTTCCTAGTCATCAATCCTATTCGTTCACGCCATACTCGGAGTTAGGCGTCAAACTTTGGTCGATCTTCGAAGAATTAATCAAATCAGCCACAAGACTTGGACGGCTCACCTCAAGTTTGCGGACGATACCGTTATTTAGGAGACTGTCCTGACAGCCTACAGCTGATACCTTACCGTATCGAATTTTATTCCAGGGACACCAGTCTGGAGGTAAATAACTCTAGAACTAAATTCTCCATACCATCTCCAGAGCCGTCACGGTCCATCCATTTCAATGACTTAACACTATAATAGGTAGATCACTTTAAGTACTAAGGATTTATCATCCAACTCAACGGCCAAATCAGAGACGAATTCAAGCCTCGTGTCGAACGTGCAAAATAAGCCTCTACATAAAACTGCGCGTCTATCGAGTCACCGTTCAGCCCGTCCTTACGCTTTAAAAACGAGGCTAATGAGATTCGATGCCATCACTGGTGCCTCCGATATTTGACTAAAACAAGTTGTATAACCACGTTTCAAGCTCCATCGTCCGTCAGTATTGTGAGACTATAGAGGCCATCCTTGTTTCTCCGATGCCATCATCTTTAAGGGTTTGACCATGTCCCCCACCGGCTATAATACGAACTCAAAGAAATTTCTATCGCCGATATCTCGTCCGGATTGGAAATGTTGCCTCGGAGGCCAAATGAATACGCGTATTGGTGTACTCAAACGGGATGCAGATAATCCAGATTTCCAGTTGATTTTCAGAGCACGCGATTGGTGCTTACTATGTTTCTCTAGAAGATCGATTAGTTTGTAGAATAACGAGCAGTGTCATGTTAGCCGAAAACGCAATTCCCCCATATTTATTTGCCATCAAACCTCCGAGACTATGGATAATTTCGACAATGATCAAAATTGCCAGCTAGCACTACGGGTCTCAATGGGATTGAGAAGCTGTTTACTATACCCTTAAAAGAGATGACTATGTACTTACATTCAGTCTTATTTCGGATATCCCCAGTCCGATTCGTTATGAAAAACCGTCGATCCGAAATTAACATCTCAACTTTGTTAGAGTTAACACTTTAAAGTGTGGATACCGCAACACAAAATCGATCCGGACAACCGGATTATTTACTTCATCTTGTGTGCACTGCGTAACATGTTTGTGGAAAGTATCCTTGCTGTCGTTCGGCCATATATACCACGCCTAACCTAGTGGGGTCTTGTGCGGTTCCTTTTGATTTCCAGTTTCCATGACTGAACAGTCGGTCTTCGTGTTTGTGGGGTTCACCCTATCTGCTTTTGATTCAATGAATCAATGAAAACAATTTTCCGCCTTTGAACGTGTGTTCTCAGATATTGACAAATAACCCAATTTGTTTGCCTATAGCTTTGATGATCTGAATAGAACTGGAAGGTTGATTTTCTCAATCAAATGTGCACAATTCTGGACTTCTGACGAGGAAAATTTTAAACTTTAACAATAAATGACTCACGAGCGCATGATCATAACAAGCACAATGAGTTTCCACAGCCTTGTGTTTTAAACACAGTGAGATGAAAGAATTTTTCGACAGATTTGTTTAATGAGCTTTGAATAAATCTGTAAGTATTACGTATTCTGTCTCATAACATTTGATACCTTTAAATTATACCTCGTCAGTTGACTTTTATTTTAGGCCTAGATAAAACTGTTGTCTTGCTCTCATTAAGAAAATTCAATGGAGAACAAAACTTGTTTTCAATAACTTCTTTCTCCAAGTAACATAGGTAGATGTAGAGCTTAAAATTTCAAACGACGATAATGGTTAGTTGTAATAAATATAGGCGCTTGATTATGTTGTTGGTGTGTACGGTTTGGGAATGAAACGGTGAAGTTTCGTTATCGGGTCGTTTGGAAAATGTTCACAGCCGATCGGTTTCTTTTCATTTCGAATCTGGAGCGTGTCGAAGGTCACGACTGTTTGGGTCATCTGTGTCAGGTTGAGGTCAAGATAAGCACACATGACAACATTGCAATCGCCCAATCATATTCATTACATCAGACCAGTACACGAAGTAAACGTGTCAACCCTGTACATCTGTATGATCCTAAGGCAGTAGGAAGTGAAAAAAGCTTAGTTCTCGATTACGTTTTCTTAATGTTACGATACAAATGTTCCATAAAATGTTCACATTGCAGAAGTTATGGAGTCAGGAATGAATTCTCTTCTGTCTAATACTTGAAAATTCAAGCGCTCAGATTCGTGCACATCTGCACTTTTATTATTACTCACCTGCGCAAATTGAAGCGGTTTCCTTTTTTCATATGATCCACATCAGTAGGACAATGGTTTGTCCGATGAAGGCTGGCCTAGAACGGTTGAAATTGTCTTATCCGATTCCTCCATATTTTCCGATTTTCGTTTGAGCAAAGTTTGGGCGATTTTCATCGCGATATCCTGTTTTCGTTTTAGTTTCCTTGGCACTAAACGATTCATGACGATCAGTTTTCGGTTATGCGTCAAGCCGTGTTCTGTGGTCGGGCTAGAGGATTGCATCACTTCCGTCAGGGGCATCTCACATTCACCACCAGCGTTTAATATGGTGGTTTGGTTTAGCGGAGTTTTGTAAACGCTTGCCGATCGCGCGTGTGATCGGGATCCGGTAGATTGTTCGGGTACTAATTTCATTGTTTGACCGAATTCATTATAATCACACAATCCCTGAAAGCATCTCTTCAATGATTCGATCTCAGAGCAATGTGTTATTCGACTAGATTTTTTGTGCAAATCCGCAAGTCCACTTTGATGACACCCTAGAATGCATTGAGTGGTACACGGCTTCGGTCGATCATTTTGGCCGAGTTCTAAAGGCAATTCCTCGGATAAGCTCGTGGAAGTCGAAGCAGACATTGTTGATTTGTGGATACTTCGAAGTGCTTGGCATTGGCTGCATGGCTGAGATGTAGTGTCTCGAAAAGCTGTTTTAATACCGGTCCGTTTAGGGAATTTCTGTCCCGCCAAATTCTGATCATTTACACTTTTTTTCTTGGATACTTTTGGAGATTGATAGATTGGTAGCTGTGATCGTGGACTAAGACAGGGGTTTAATTCTGTGGAAACAATGGACGAACCATCCTCCTCTACTGCCTCATGCAAAACTTGAGTCGGTCGGGCCATGTGAAACTGATCGCTGTCTAGGTGCAAAAAAGAGGCTGGTTTATAAAATCGATTCTGAGCAATTAGTGAATATTCGTGCGTGGGACATATTATATCATCAAGCATGATAGTGTGTGAATGACACAACCGTGTGGGGTTTGCAAAGCATGAAGAACAAGATTCAATGCCATCTACAATCCGTTTATTGGCCATGCCAATAATGTTATCATCGTGAGGCCTAACAACACGCACCAGCGATGTGTATAGTTCGGAAACATACGGGTCCCGAATCAGGTCCCTTCTAGAACATGTGGACAGATATCTTTTTCTTTTAGTTTTACCGAGATCATATTTGTTTATTTCGCTCCTTTGTCGGAAGAGTGTGGGCCAAAATTTGTTCCAAATATCGGGTTCAGCACAGCTCGCATTTTGCGCGTTCATTGAACCCAAATCCTGGATATGTTTCATCTGTTTGTCTGTTCCTTCGTCCGGTTTTTCATTTGCATTTCGTTGGCCCCGTTTTCGTGCCTTTGCATTCGATTGTCTTCGAAGTTGTGTTTTCAATAATTCTGCGGTTGTGGTCAGAGTATTCAACAAATTCATGGTCATTCGTTGATATTCCGATCCCTCACTACTTGTCTGGGTGCCTGAACCGTCTGAATTTTCCATTTTTCCTGGACTGGGTGTTTCATTTGGCGCTGCGGTAATCTCACCGGTTGGCTGGCGTGCTACACGTTTACCACGGTGCCCTTTTTCCCCTCTGTGTGACAGAGTGGGTGTGTTACGCTCAGACACAACTCCCGTGCCACGATAAACTCGACGATGACGATAACGAAAGTGTTGCAAACTTTGAGACGATTCTGATTCTACACCATCACTACCCAACCCCGTTAAACCCAGATCATCTGGAACTGTACTGACTTCCGCATCGCAAAGTATCTTGTCCCCGTATTGTCTCACTGGCAGTTGCTCAACCTCACTGTTTGCAGCTAACTCCGGGCTCTGCAACACTACCGGATTTTTTAATTCTGTGGGCAACTCTTTGGATTTGGATGATCTGCGTTCGGTAAGTGTGGTAGTGTCAACAACCACCTCCTCGTGACCCGCAGATTCCACAGCGGATTGTACAGGTTGTACATCTTGTTTCTGTTCTTCATTTTCCTCGACCACTGGGGCTGGAATATCCTCACCAGGGCCCACCGTAGTTGATTCTTCTTTCGTGTCCGTGGGCAATTCCGGTGAGGTCGCATTCTCTGGCACAGACCGAGCTATTCTGTCAAATGCTGTCTCCAAAACTTGATTGGTTATATCTGCAGCCACTGCGTGACATTCTTTTTCTTTTTGTATTGTAGATTCTGCGCAAGGGTCAGAAGGAGATATTTTTAGTAATATCGTTCATTCTGAATTGTCAAACACTAACCGACTGATTTTGAGATTTCATATCAAAGATATATCAAGAATGAGCACATTGTATCATAAATTTCAATCAATAAGGTTCATACCGTCCTCACTAAGATTCAACCTTTGTTACTCGACCGAAAATATCTCCAACCTGGCTTTTATGTAGCATTATTTGTAATGATAATAATAGCTGTAGCAGTAGTCAGCGTTGTTGTGGCTGTTTCGATTTGTTTTAATGAAAGAGAATCTGAAGTGTGCATAACTCATTTCATTTTTTAATTATATTAAACTTCATCAAACTTACTCGTTTCATCCACCATTGAAAACTGTAATGGTGGTGGTGATATATTTCCCTTATTTCTTTTTCCACACAGGGAGGGGATGTGAAATTAAGATTTAGTTATTCGCTGTAGCAGTTTTAAAACTCATTTTGTTGAGAAGTTTTCCTACCAAATTTAATAGGAAAAGGAAATTCTGCTTCAGTTTGTTGTTGTTTTGGCTTATCTTATTATACTAATTAAATTCAGGATATTGGAGAGTGATAAAAGTTAGCTTGACAATATCTCACACCAGTTGTTTTCATGTATCGCCAGTTTTCATCTTCTGTCATGGCACAAATTTCAAGTGACGTGTGATTACATAATCACTCTTGTCGGAAGATGAGAAAAACATCATTGAGTTAAATGGTTATTAATATGCCCACTGACGGTCTGAAAACATTATGCGTGAGGTTTCTGTAAACAACAGATTGACTCTCACCTGAATTGGGCCATCTAGCGCTTGAGAGCCTATCGACTTTCTCGGGGTAATCCTAAGATACAGGATGACACAGACCACGAGGCGACACGTTGCAGTTTCTGGAATACTGTAATGAGTCAAGCTTCCCAGATGAAGTCAATAAAGCACCTACGCGTTACAGTTTATGAACAGAGAACAGCAGGCCGATTGTGCCGACCAATCAGAAGCCGTGCAACCCAGACAGAAGCTGTACGACGCCAAGAATACTAGCCAATGATTGGTAGATACCTGGATAACCAGTAAACTTCTTTTGTACATGTTATTTAACCCCTTGATTTCTTCCAGTAAACGAACTGCTAGTTCTGCTGTCTTTTCCTTGCATCTCGGTTACGTGCGATACCGTCGTGCAAGTGCCAGTGGGATTCCGTGATTCCTAAATACGGGATTCGTAATCCGTGATCTGTGTACTTCAACCATTTCTGTTTCAGAAAGTTTCTTTCCATTACACACTATAGTATGCGCGATGAATAGTACACGAGATAAATTTCATGGTCACGATGACCTACTGTTCCCCCATGGTAGCTCGTTGGATGTACGCGAACGACGATTTTTCATAAGAAAAAGATGAGTTCAAACGACCTCTTATGCTTTTCAGCGGTATGTATAAAGATCTTCGTTTAAGCCTCCCACAAGAGGCTCATGAATGACTGGAACCCAGTCCTCCAGGCTACGATTAAAGTTATAATCACCCGACTTTTGTGAATGGATTGGTTTATGTCACTCGGGTGTTGATATTCTCAGGTACATTCGATCGAAATTGAAAAATTTTAACTACTTTGGTTAACAAATATGAGTCCTATCGACGTGATTAGACATCTTACACGGTCTATGGAGTCCTTTTATAGCTGGGAGTCTGAGTTGCTTAAGCGAGTGTACATGTTCGGGGTCAGGGGTCTTGCCTCCTAACACGGGAGTTTATGATTCGATTCTCGGTCAGGACACCGTTTAATTCACTCTTCTTATGATTCCGTAGGATGATAAAACAGTTGGTCCTTGTGCCATCTCGGCCGTTACAACAGTATGGGGAAAATGACTGTCTAGGCAGTACTACTCGACCCAAATCCGCGAACCGAGTTCAGACGATTCAGACTAGTCAGATCATCATCACATTGAATTCCCACGCGCATTTCAAGGTTTTATATACCCATCGTGACAGTGGCTAATCGGAACTCCCTCCATCTTTAAAAGAACTAACTGTTCATTGAATGTATAACACACAAATAAGAGACCCATTAATCTACTGTCCATCTCAGCGAAGATCTTCACTGAATTATACTTTGGTTCAAGGCATACTAAAACTGTTGCGGTTTGAGGAAGTTGAGTGCCTCCTTCGTCATGGCACACAAATTCTTTATCAGTGAGCCGATTTTACCATTTGATTTCACTTGTCAAACACCAATAAACTTATTTGTGAATTCACAATTTACTCTGTATGCCTGTTCGAACTATCGCTGTGTGAGCTGGATCAATGAAGCATAGACTGATCTTCCGGCAACCGTCAGACGAGTTCAGTATATGTATGAAATATCTTCATTCGAAATCCGCATGCTATGCGATATGTGAATATCCAACTGGCATACCCCATACTCTACTCCTATTGTTTACGTGAAATCCTAGCGTTAATAGCAACTCGTGTGTGAAAACCTGTTATTGTCAAAAAAATTGTGATCTATTCCAACATATCAACATACTTTCTCATTGGGTTGTTACTCAGTGGCATCTGATGATGAGTCTTCCGCAGTCGGATTAGTGAATATCACATAAGCACATCGATACAGGATAATAAATCGATAAAAAGGTCAACTATGCGTAAAATGGACTGATTGTGAAAATGAACGATCATTTTCCCTTTTTGCAGAGCCAAATTGTAAAGCTTCATTTATCTACCATGTTAAAGAATGACTGAAGAGTCTCCAGTTGGAGAACATCCTCTTAATCGTGTGTAATTTTTTCCCTAAAATCAGTTACACGATCCGGAGTAAATATGCTACCAACAAAGAAACATACTCCCCAGTGCGTAACAGTGCAGCTAATCGAAGATCAGATGACGTAACTGCTGGTCAGATCGTGATCCGAGGCCAGACCGGAGACTCATTTCAGATGGGCAAATAACTTTCTGCACTATATTTGTATGTTTTGTATTCGTCATGTTCTGCTTTCGCCTGATCCTATCCTCGATCCCACCATGATTAAGAACACTGTGACGTAAACATTGAATTGGATGAATTAAATTACCGGTTAGATACTCTATTCAAACCAGTTATCAAAATTTGTTGAGGAAGTCCATCTTCTCAGTTGAGCAAGGTACATAAAACATGAGAGATTCTTTCCAATGGACGAAATTTTGACGATCAAAGGCAGAACCCGTAGACCAATTCCCAGACATGCAAACATCATTTTATTTCTATGTAGTCATAAAATTTCTGAGTACGTACTGTACGTTAAGAAGACTCTGAAAAAGTTTTTGATAATCATTTGAACCCTGGAAAATGGACAGAAAATCTATTTTACAAAATCCTTCAAGAGTGCAGTGTTTGATTACATAGCTGTGCCTTTATTCAGATGCGCGCGCTGAGCACATTTATCCGTTACTTTCAGGTAACTGCACTCAGAGATGAAATAAAAAATCGATTGGTGTGATTTTACACTGAATAGCATCCAATGATTAAGTAACTTGCTCGGTTGACCAATTGGCACTCACTCAATGGGCGTTTTTATTGTGCGACATATGTTGGACAATGTTTATAACGAAACAATTTACTTTATTGCACTTATGTTTGTACAATATACATACACATATTTTTATACTTGCCTAGTTCATGAAGAACAGAACAACAGAAGCAAATATGAATCTGCCATGAACTGATATGGAAGTTGGTCCTGTTTATTACAACTCTAACAAGCTAAAATATCGTAGAGTTCTTCGGTCCGCGCATAGAATTGAACAAATCACATCACCTTTCACTGTGAGAAGCGAATAGTTCGCTGAATTATTTCTGTATTCCAGAACACTTGTCTGATGTTCCTCGTAGTCATTTAGGGTCTGACCCGAAAAACTTTCAATGAATCCCTTACTTTTCAGCATATTCTGTATTGGCTGAAGTCAGAACCAGAAGATCAATAAATCTGTTACGTTTACCTTATTTCTGAACTTCCTTATTCGACAAACTTTTCGGTTCCCGTGACCGAAAGGGGGCTCTGGTGACGATAAAGTGGTGCAACCCTTCTAATGTTCACCATGCTGAAGTGTCCGGCCAAAAATTTTGAAAGTCCCAGCGGTGTTCTAAATGGATTTTGCTGCTGGGATACTGTTTGTTTCATAATCTGTTTGGTACATGGCATAAATCCAGACTAATATACAAAATAGTTATTCATATATCTCAAACATTTTCAAACAAAATCCATCCCTATCTTAAGTATTTTTCGAACTCTGACTTCACCTTTTCAACAGTTACCATTAGCTCCATTTACAACTGGTGTCATCTACACTCACATTGGCATGTAAGCAATTCCAATTTATTAGGACTTTTCTATCTGTGGATCACTGCGCTTACCCCGTGATTCCAATACAGGTACCGGACCATCTGTTGTCTGTGACTTCTCAACCGATGGAAAATCTTGCGCCGTCTGCTCTTCTGGTTTAGGTTCTGAGGGTTTCGCTTGCGCTTCTGTTAACTCTGGATCACCTTCTGCGAGGTTCTTTTCAATCGGTAGTTGATCCTCATTGCCTTCTATCACTTCATTTGCCAGTTTTTCCTCAGGTTGTGTGCTGATTTCCTCATCGGGCTGAGGCGGTTCATCCTCGGTATCGTTAATACTCACTTTGATTTTTTGCACCGGGGCTGGTTGATCTTCGTTTGGCTGAACTACTTCGTCACGTGACGTAGGTTCCTCAACGGTCGTTGGAGACTGTAATTCCTGGGATTCCTGTACACAAATGGGTGCTTGATCCTCTTCAACGGGTTCACTCTCGTTTGCCACAAGCGGTGCTACCTGATCCTCTTGCGTATCTTCGATCTTCTGCTCACTTGGATTTTCCTCCTCACGTGGAACAGTCTGGACAACATCCAGTTGTACATCCTCAGGTAACGTGACCACTGGTTCCTCGCCAGTTGTCGGCTCCCGTACTTCCTGCGGCTCTTGTATATCAGTAGTAGCAATATATTCCCCACCTATTCCATCCGTATCGACCATTGGTAATGCTGATGGGCCTTCCTGTTCCTCACTTACCTTCTGACCGAGTGATTGTTCTATTCCTATTGTATTAATTTCCTGAGGGACCACGTTATCGGTCTGAATGAATGAATTGACTACATCCTGCACTGGTTCTTCAGCCTCAGCCAGATTTATCAGCTCCTTGTCTGCATCATTTTTATCTAATTGAACTTCGCTCAGGATCTGGTTGGTTTCCACCAACTGTGTGTTATCCACATTATCAATATCATCTGCTTGTTCCGGACATCGCTCCAATCCACCTTCTTCCTGCTGAATTGCTTCATCCTTAGCCTCATCTTTTTCACCCTCTTGCTCATTCGTATCCCTCCGCAACCCCTCATCAGATCCACCAGAGCTCTTTGATGTCAATTTTTTGTATTCATCCGCCAGACCAGACGGTTCTTGGTCCACAACATTCACTGTTTCCGATGCAAGTGGTAGTGTATTCACAGGAAGGGCTGCGTTTTCGACGGTATCAGCTTGTTGATTAAGTGTAGCTTCAATTTCCTTCATCACTTTATCAGAGACCGGAGCATTTCCCGGTGAGTCCATGTCTTGTTCGACGTCCGGACCAAAATCACTTTGTTTCATCTCTAACGTTTCGTTTAATTTTGACTCATCTACCATCTCTACCGATAGACCCAAAGGTTCCGTTTTTGTCTGTTCCGGGGACGGCAATTGGAGCACCTCTGCCGCATCTTGTCTTGCCGGATCACCGATCTGTTCCGTGCCGTCTTTTTCATTGGTCGGTTGAATCTCAAGTGTACGAGACAAGCGCAACTCCAATGCTCCCTCTGGAGTTTGATCGTATGTGCAGCTCTCTTGAACTTCGATTTGATACTTGGACGTCGGTTCCAAGTGCATCACTGTTTGCGTTGGGATCACCACCGTTTCAGAGCCACTCGGTTCTTTCAGTTTGATTGCACTCTGACCCACATTGGACACCATGTCGGCACGCTGTTGGTGAGACGCAGACTGAGGAGAATATTGAGTACTCTCATCAACGGCGATCCCATCTTGGGCGATGAGTAACTTACCGTCCGGGGAAATATGTCCTTGAATCGTAACCGAACCGGAAATGGTTGGATCTGTTGGAGAACTGAATGCTACACGAGATTTGAAAGAGTGTATGGGACTCATAGTTCTGGCCGGGACACTGGTCGTCCCCGGTGCATTATCGGATTCGACAAGTGTGTTTCTCTTTTCTGAAGTTCCCGGCTCATTCGTTCCTGTATGGCCGATTCGTGTAGGACTGAATTTCTGTTTAATTTGTACATGTGCCTGAATATCAAATGCATGACAAGCTGTTGGATGTTGTACAGTCGTACTATCCACTTTCACCTGAACTGAAACATTAGGACATTCATCTTCACCAGAATTGATAGCACCTCGAGATGAAGCACTTTGAATTGCCAGTGCATGATCTTTGGCCTCTTTAATTGTTTTCTGTTCGCTATCCTCTTGCTGTACCACTACTGGAGGGTCAGCACATCGGATTGGCCAAGCAATAATGGTATCCGTTGTGACAATAACTTTTTCCAAAAAGTCTAACTGAGATTCAATGGTCATTCGAGCACGGCCCTCAGTATAGTTATGTGATTGTTTATTCCGATTCAGTTGCTTGGTTTCAGCCGGGTTGTTTTGACTCTGTCCTGTGAGCTGTTCATTTGGTTTGTTTTCATTGGGAGCCATGCCGGCAGATATCAATCAGATTGTGTATATCGGACCTCAAATTGTAAAGTTCCTTTATTCCCCACACATACACACACACAAACAAACACTTACGCGCCTAAAGTCAATTCAGTGCATAAAGCTCTCTCTCTGACCGAGACTAATGCACTCAGCTGCCAGCAGCAAATTTGCACGTCTATTTACGCGTAGCGTAAATCTGTCCCTTGAATCGATCTCAGAGTGGTGCGCTGGGTCTTTTAAACTACAACTATTGACCGATACGCATTTATCACGTGCAATGTGTTAAGATCATTATTGCGCTCAGATCGAGACCGGGTTTTACTATTTCCCATTGAGAAAACCGAATCAAGTTTTTCCCGAAGTTCAATCTCAAAAGAAAAGACCATATCGCAAATCTGTAAATGGAAACCTAAATCCTTCTTGCACATTCATTTTGGAATACTCGGTGCATGCAAAATCACTCCGGACAAGAGACGCAAACATGTCATGCAACGGCAAACGGATTAACTAACCTCAGCCATTTGTCCGACCAGCAAAAATGTGCGCCCTTTTGTAATCCCGTTCCAGTTCGAATGATGTTGAGCTTCATTTTGTACAGTTTTTTTACCGCCAACTTCATCGTCACTCGAAGAAACTGATTGAATAGGGTAGAGGGATTCTAGTTTTTAACTGGACTACGGTACAAACAATGACCTCCATAATCAACACAAAGATGAAAACCACTAATCTAGTACGAAGACATGTAGATAAATACAAACCAAAGGAGGTTTCATTCCAATTCATACCCGAACTCTATTCTGTAGCAATCACAGTCGCATGCGCGTACGCGCGAACACACACACACAGACACGCAGCCACACACATTCACACATAATATCACTCGTGGATTAAGTTGATTATTTACATAATTCTCCGAAATTCAGGCAAATGTCAGGGGCTCGTCGCTACCGATCGATTTGTTGCAATACTGGATTCGAGTTGAAACACCGCAACCATTTTAAAAGGGATTAGATTTCTTTTCAAAACAGGCTCTACAGTTTTGACTGAGATGTAAACTTAAATCTTGATGAAAGCAGTCTATACGCAACCTATTCTTCAATCCGTTTGGCACTAATCACCGATTCACTCTTTCAAACGATCCAAATCATTTTGTTTTCCGAAAAAATAAATTTTCATTCAACAGAGTTTTAGATTTTCTTTAGTATATGTATTTTTAACACCAATCTTTACGGACAAGTCGCCAAAATAACCACGGACTGAAAGAGAAATACAGAAACAGAACAAATAACAATAACACAAAAACGATCAGTTCTGGGTAGGGGGCTGCAAATCTTTTTGCTTGTTTACTGCATATAATTTTCAGATTTTTGTCTTTTTTACCTTTGGGATTGTAAACAGAAAAGGGTCCGTTCACACCAATGACTTCTATTCAATGCCATATGTTGCAGTGTTTCCAGCCGATAACAATCTAGACTTGTAACGTTTAACGAATCAAGCAAACGAGAGCGGAACTGAGAAGACTCGGAGTCGGAATTAT